CCAGGGAAAGGGGCTAAAAAGAGCAAGTAGACGGCGCAGCGCAAGAAATGAAAGCACATGAGGGACACATGGGTATCGACCAAGGCAACCCCGCGGAATCAGGTTTTCGGTGGGGGTGGGGGTGGGGGTGGGCGTCGAGACTTTTCTCGAGAAGGAGAGAAGAGACGAGAACCAGTATCCGCGGAAATCGCAGACAACGAACTCGCACGTTTCGGGTTGGGGTGGAGCTTACAGTTGGTTGGTTGGGTTGGGGTGGAGCTTATTGTTGGTTGGATGGAAAGCCTAACCTAGTTACCTTTAGGGTTAGGGTTATAGGTTTACCTGGGTGACCACGAACAGGATGGCGTTGGCGTAGCCCACCGAGCGGAGCTTGGTCACCGTGTCGTTGTAGTACGTGTCGGAGTTTCGGGGCTGGGGGTCCGGGAGACCGGGGTATCCAACACCGACAGCTCTTCCCCGACCACCAACTTTGACGGGAACATCGCGTAACAACGTCGGAAAAGCGGAAGGTCAGGGTCGACGAGACGTCACAAAAATGTCAGGGATGCAGGCTTTAGGGCGTAGCTGCTCTCGCTTGCTTTTCAAACCACAATACCAGGCTGTTTTCCCGGCGAATCGGGAAGGGCAATGTAGAGGCCGAAGAACGAAGGCCGACAAACACAAACCAACAGCGAGATTGCGGGTAGTGGACCGCAACAACAACAACAACAACATCAACGGCTACAGCTACAGGAACAGCACCATTACCAACGACAAAAAATGACAAAACATCACGACCATGAACAAGACGATAACCAAAACAACAACGACAAAATAACAACAACAACGACCACCATCGCAGCCACATGAACAAAACGATACCAACCAACCACGACAACAAAAACAACAAACAACCAGAAAAAGAGTCGTCGACTGTACCTTCGGCTCAACCGTCTTCGACCCCACCCCGAACGTCGCCCGGTATTCCTTTTCTCGTTGTCTTCCCATCAATGCGCTCGCCAGTCGAGACTTGCCGCACCCAGCCACCTGATTGGGTAGGGTTAGTGTCAGGGTTATCGATCAACCACAGCAGGGCGGCCCACGTGTGCATCGGTGCGTTTCGCTCTTTCACAACTCGAGCCCAAGGAGATGTCAAAGGACGAATTCGAACACTCGACGACACCGACAACAACAAACGACAACACCACCAAAGCAACAGCCAGCAGCAACAATAACAGCAGCAACAGCAGCAGCAGCAGCAACAACAAAAACAACTCACCCCAAAGACGGCGACGAGCGGAGGTCTTCGTCGTGTCAGAGAGCTCAGGTGTCGTGGTACGGGCATCCTCTTGAAGTTTCCGTCCTCGTCTCGGTACTCTAGCGGAATATCTGCACAAAAAAAAAAATGTTTAGGGCCGCAATTGTCAATACATCTTCATGTATGGTTTTGGATGTTCTTCTTCTTGTTCTTCTTGTTGTGGCGGTGGATGATGATGATCTTGTTGTGGTGGATGATGATGATGATGTTGTTGTTATTGTTGTTGTTGTTGTCTTCACATTAAAAACCGTTCCGATCTCTCTCTACCGAGTACCTTCGTATGTCCGTACTGATCCCACACTCGACGCGGTCGAATCCCGTGGTCACAG